GTTACGTCTTGTTACGTGGTGTTACGTGGTGTTACGTCTTGTTACGTCTTGTTACGTGGTGTTACGTGGTGTTACGCCGCGTTACCCCGCGTTACCCGCGTTACGTTGCGTTACCCCGCGTTACATTGAGCTATGTGGTGTTATTTGTTATGTGTTACGTGGTGTTACGTGGTGTTACATGGTGTTACGTCTTGTTAAGTCTTGTTACGTGGTGTTACGTGGTGTTACGTGGTGTTACATGGTGTTACGTCTTGTTACGTCTTGTTACGTGGTGTTACATTGTGTTACGTGGTGTTACGTGATGTTACGTGGTGTTATGTGGTGTTACGTCTTGTTACGTGGTGTTACGCGGTGTTACGTCTTGTTACGTGGTGTTACGTGGCGTTACACTCTATTACTTCTGTCTCATCTGTTACGGTATTTGCATGCAATAACCAGCACAGGCAGCCAGAGTATCACCAACTCTTCAGATATATTGTTATCAGATTATTCCACAGAGCTGAGCTTTATTCAGTGACCTTGTTCAGTTGCTGACCATCATGGAGTCTTTCTCCTCACGAGGTCTTTCATGTTGCTGCGATGATGCCAGCGCTCCTTGTTGGACTTTTAAATAATTGATGTGACCAGGCCTGCTCTGTTACGCTGTTGAATTATTGATCTGGATCTGGATGTGTGATGGCGGTGACAGTCTCTGGTGTTTATCTGCCCTCACACTGGGACGTAAAATCTTTAATCTTGACCAGAGCTGTAAAGCTTCTCTGAACCCTTTTATTCTGGGACTCAGAGAGACAGGAAGCTGCTATAAATCCACTTCAACAGCCAGGAACTAAACAGTGACACCAATAAAACCTCTCCTGATTGGTAAAAAGAAAGTATTCTCAGACAGTTAAGCTCAGTGGTCATCACCTTTATGTTGAACTTATTTCCAGCAGTTACAGAGCAACATGATGGTCAATTATAAGTCTTTGTGTTTGTTTCCTGATGATGAATATAAGTCCAAGATTCTCTCTTTTAGCTTTGTTTTGGTCTCCACCTCCTCCTGAAGTCTGTTCAGCTGCTAAATGCTCCACTGAGTTCACTAGAAAAACTGCTTTCTGATGCTCTGAAGAGTAAAACTACACACTGGGTAGTGTTTATTCGTGTTTAGTGTGAGTTTGCATGTAGTAGTTGACTTTTAAACTATGAGTGCATCTCATAAATGTATGCATGTGCCTCAATATTTCTGTCCATCAGCCGTCTCTCCCTCCACTTCCTCTTGTGTTTCTTTATTCTTTACTCAGTCTGAATGCCGACAAGAGGAGGGAGGAGCTTCTGCTGGTCGGCCGTCAGAACCGGGCCATCTACCAGCGAATCACGGCCCGCCAGTCACAGTACCGCCGCCAGCTGTGGTTTGATGACTGGGAGAGGACGGAGCGCTGGCGGGACAAGATCTCCCAGCATCCTCGAGGACTTGCAGAGAAACAGGTGAGTCCCAACATGAGGCAGTGTTGGTAAAATACACAAAAAGACCGTTTTCTGAAACTCTAGTAGAACCTGATATTCATGTGTGATCTGTGCTGCGTGTTTGTGTCTGAAGAGCTCGAGCAGGAAGGTGAAGTTTGCAGCCGCGGAGAGCAGCGAGAGCTCGGCGAGCTGCAGCAACACCGACCGGACTGACCGAGAAACCTGAGACCCAAACGAACGCCAATAATATTCATTAAAAATGACGCTACATACAGGAAGAGAGGCCAACCGTATGTGATTCACTCCTCTCATGTTAACAAGGAATCTCTCTCCTCTCAAGACTTCCAGCAGAACGCTGTAAACGCCTCGTGTCTTCTAGTCTTCAGGGTTTGTAGACTTTTCAATGTTTATGTGTCTTGTTGTTCTCTGTTGTTAAAATGTTCCTGGATTATTGAATATTAATAAAACGTCTGTTACATCATGTTCTGTGAGTCAGCTCTTCCTGTCCACCATGAACAGCTCTCGATCATTTCTTCACTTCTCAGGACTCCAAACTGATGATTAGGTTTCCATTTAACGAGACACACCCAGAGGTGAATGTGGTCAATTGTGATGTTACGTTTAAATATGTTTCATTTAGTTCATTAGAGTCAAAGGTTTTACAAAGACAAGTTATGATTTCACTTTGTTTCACTCTATAAATCAGAAAATACTGTCAACAGACATAAAGAAAACCCATCCATGTCCTCCATGTTTTATTAATAAATGTATAACTGAGTGTGTGAGTGATGTGTGAACAAACCCCTCTGTGTGAACCTTCAGCACACAGAGAGGAATGAACGAGTGAAGTTTGGTGAATGTAAGAGCTGCTGAAGTGGAGATTTATCATCAGAGTCTGAGAACAAACTCATTTAGAGGAAACGTCCTTTAAAGAGACGTTTAGTTCCATTACAGACATTTAGAGACTCTACAGGTGAACACATGAACTCATAGATATCACCATGA